ATAGCAGTAGCAGCACAAAATAAGAAAAGCAGTCTCAGGCACTCAGAGATACTTTTCACTAACACACAAATAGTTTCACTCTTGTCAAGTTGCCCTGCAGCACAGATTCTTCCTTGCCTGCTGTCTTCTTAGAGACTTTCCTCCACACATTGCTTGCCACATGCAAGGCTTTCATGTGTTGACATCTTGCTATAGATTTGTGTTTTACTCCAAGACATTCACAGCTGTGTCAAGGGCAGTACAGTCATAATACTAGTTAGGCTTGGTAATCTTGGTTCCTCATAATTGCTCTGGCTGGGCAAGGGCAGTTTCTTCAGTGATGAACACAACTGCACCGTGTGTGCTGGGCTGCTCACCTCCAGGCTTGAGCAGCTGCCTCTGGCTAGCCAGCAGCAATACTCTCCTTTTGTACCCAAATGTGCATGAAGCCTAAGGCAAGAGCAGATGGCAATCTGAAGTCCACTGTGTGGACAGACTCTGGTAAAACATTCAGAACAGGCCAAGAGGCATGCATGGGTGTTGCTCTAAAGGAAGGAATGACAGAAATGCTCAGTGTCTGAAATGCTGGTCTTGCAGAGAATGCCATGCACTAGAGAATTGCAACCTTCAACCCCTGTGTGCCCAATTACCTACTGAAAGATGAGCCCTGAATGCTCAGCCCAGGTGCAGTGTTGGAAGGTGAATCCTGCAGTAACATCTTTACCAACTTTGAATTTTAGATAGAAAGTTCAGGTGCTCCAGGAGCTCAAGGGCCTGCAACACCTCCAGAGCTTCCTCTGAGCTACTGGGCTCTCCCTGCCTGTGCAGGGAGGTCAGCATGAGTGAGGGGTGTGCAATTGCATTGCTGCCGCCCTACGTTCCAGGGGGATTTTGCACCTCACTGGCTCATGCTGCAGTCTTGCCTGCTGAGGTAAATGTGAACTGACATAGTGGAGGTTTAGATCAACATCCCTCTCATTAAACAAAATACAGCCTAATCCTACTATTGTTCTTGATAGCAGGAAAAACAGAAGAAAGTATCTATGTTAATATTAATGACCAGCGTGCAATTTTCCTTGCTGCTAATGCACTGTGTCAGATTCACACACTGGGGAATCCAGGGATCAGTTCCTTTGGCATCCATTTGGCTTCTGTTCTGATCTTACCCACGTTTATTAGCAGCGCATCATTGGAACTCGGCAGCAAATAACCCGCTTGGTAGAACAAGTGAGCCTGAGTACCAGGAGTTGTCTGGGTAATGGGTCTTGGCCATCATTTGCATCTTGTTTGGGTGCAAGATGCATCAGACCACAGCAGTACGGGATAAGCTAAGGAGATCCTGATGAAATATCACTTGCTTGGCCCTGTTCTTCCTTGCCTGGACACCCTGTGCTCTCAATTTTATGCCAAATGTTAGAGACATGTGTATCTACATCTACCCCAGAAGCAGATTGTTATTTTTAAAAAAAAAACAAGTTGAAGTGTTAATTGGCATTATTTTCTTAGAATCATTTGAAAGTGTTTGAAATGGGTTTTTCCAGTAGAAAAAACCCTATTTGATCAAAAATCAGTATTTTCTTTTTCAAATGGTACCATTTCCTGTGAGAGGAAAGCTCTGCATTCCAGCCCATCCTAATCCTTTCCATCTTTCTGTGTTATAACTGAGAGACTGTCCCTTTCCTATTACCTCCTTTGTCACGAAGAGTTTGAATGTCCTCTTCAAAAAAATCTCTTTGTTGTTCCCTGTATATTTCTCAGTCACATTACATATTCCTTCCACACAGCTGCACAAACCTGTTCCAGCTGCATCCCAGCCCTGGTCTCTAGCTTTATATTCAGGAGCTGTTATGCAAGAGCCACCAGCTGACACTGACACCACCACCACCCCAACCCCCCCCCCGACAGCAAGTACTTGCTAGACTGATAAAAAGTGGGATGTTGGTTTTTGAAGGGGAACAGAACACATCAGTTTTACATTGAATTTAATTATATTACTGCAGGTGTTGGAAAAAAAAAACCTTACTCCCATTTACACTTAAGCCTGCTTTTTGTGAGACAAGGCTTATACAAACCTGAAACATGCTTCTGACTATTCCCAAGATAACTAATTTTGGTCAAATATGGCAGAGATTGATTTCCTGTTTAATGAGACTAGTGACTGCATAAAGCTCCATTGCTGTTCCTGGAGAAAGAGGGACTTCCATCAGACAATCTGCCTGTAAGAAACACAGTAGAACCAGGCTTCTCCTGGTCAATGGGATTTTTAACTTGACATCAAATCAATTTGATGAGAACATCTAACCATGTACAGCTGTCTTTTAAAGTCTGTAGCCATACAACAACTATAAATATTCTAATTATTAGTGCAGAACCAAGAATTTCTAATTAGTTGAAGAAATGTCAGTGCTATTAACCTCTCACCGCTGGTGGGATATCTGCAGAACCTGATTGGAAGCTCCAAGAACTTTTAACATTTTCCTCCGAGAACTAGATGTAATCTTGCTCCAGGTTAAGGTGCTGCTTCCTGCCTTATGCCACTGAGGAAGGAAAGAAATAAAAATCCCATCTCTTCCATACCAGCCTCCCTCTTCAGCCTTCTCTTCTAGAAGGGGCAGAATGTCTGTTAGTTCTTACAGTCTCTTATTTCTTTAGCCTTTTTCATTTGGTGCATCTCTAATCTGCCTCTTTCTCAAAGTAAAGGGTCTGAGGCTGGATGGAGTACTCCTGCTGAGGCTTACTTCTTTCTTGTACACAACGCAAGTGAAATTCCCCTACTCCCAAGCATTGTCTTAACTCTTACTTGTGTTGTAACCCATAACGGCTCCTAAAATTCTTCGCTCTTTAATGAGATATTCTTTGCCTTTTCTGCAGTTTGACTTATGAATCAGCTATTGCAAGTGTTTCAGAGGCTGAGAGTTATAATGTACCTCCTTATGCAAGTCTTATTTAAAAAATTTAGATGGATGCCTCAACTGTGAGGTCTGGAATTCTTTCTGTGGAATAAACCATAACCCCAGTAGCACATGTTGTGGAGATCTTTCCTGAACTGTGACTAAGTTATGACAAAGATGCCTTAAAATTAGCATCTTGATTTTCCACTGTGTTGAGCACTGGATTCCAAAAAGTCAGAGACTTGTTTTCAACTTGCTCCTTTGTTGTGCAAATAGTCCCATAACAGTCAACAGGATCTCCTGGGAGATAGGAAATCCACAGGCTTTCTAAAATGAGCAGTTTTTATTCAGAGCAGAGGATGTGGCAGAGCTGGGTAGAGTCTTACATGAGAGAAGTGATTTAGGGGGGTCATATGGTGTTTGGTGGAGGGGTGTTTGCAGTGTGATGTGTGTGGGGAAGCAGGTTGAAAATGCTGATGGGGATAAAATAAATGTTTGTTAATCTCTCCACCATGAAGGCTGCTGTGATTTAAGGGCTTTTCCATTCACTCCATTCCCCAGACTGAGGAAAAGAGGGAGAGCTTTCTATAACTTGTGCTAAATGCTTGTACTGCAATGGTGTAATTTAAACAAATACTTTTAAATGGTGAAAACCTCTGTGTGGACATGTTTAAGTTGATTGTGTGGTTTATGTTGATTTTAAGTCAGTTTCTTCATTGTAGAGCCCTTGCTGTAAAAAGCCAGCAAATAAAATTCAGATTAATTACTGTGTGCCAGTATTCAAATATAACCCATGTTAGTGGATTGCATCTCCTGTATCCAAAGCATTCTGAAAATAATGAAAATCCTGAAAATATCCTGAAATAAAATCTGTACAAACAGCCTTTCCAGGGCATGTTTCCTATGTCAAAGCATTAAAAACAAACTCAAGGGATAGCTCCATCTGTAAGGAGAGGAACTCTTGTTTGCAATATTGATGAACCTTTTCTTTAGTGATCAGCTGAAAGCAGGTGGCATGATCCAAAGCATTTAGTCACAGCTCTTACTATACTTGCTAGTGGTAACTTGGAAAAACTTAGACTGTATTTCCAATGAACTTCACAACCTATTTTTTCTGCTGGGTACAAATAATCACTGGTTATTCACAGCTTGCTTACATAAGAAGAAAAACATTTCCAAACCAAACTTTCTTCTCTCAAAACATCTGATGTAATTCCCAGAAGCTGATGTACCACGTTGGAAATCAGATCCTGAGACACCACAGATGCTCTTATGAGTGTGCTTTATTTTATGGCAGCCATTTTGCTTCTTTTGCACAGAATAATATCTCTATTTGGGAGGTTGTTTTCCCTGCCTAGAGTTACTAGGATGTTCTCCACTGAGATTTCCATTACATCTCCAAAAGGATTGTTGCACTGTACTATTTCACTTTCAGTATTTTTCTTTTATTGTGGCTGGAACCGTTTTTCCTAATTTACTGTGCTAAATTTTGAATCCATATCTGCTCAGGTCACCAGAAACCACATATCTAACTTTTCTTCTATCAGTCTGCGACTCCATGTTTCCCCAGCCTCACGGCTGATGATCGTGTAACCTTCTTAATCCTGCTTTCCCCTGGTTTGTCTTCTTAAATTATTTTACTTGATCCTTGTATTTCTGATATTCTCCTCTGAGCTATTTTCCAGCAGTTTCCTGATTGCGAGGTGATTAGAGCCAGACAAGTCTCATTCAGAAAAGCTCAATAACAAACTGTTCTATCTGTGGCATTGGGCAGTATTCATGTATGAGGCCAACGTGTGTGCAGGACTGTGAGCAGAGCCCATATGTATGTTCTTCTGGCAGGATTTGGGCCCTATGGACTGTTAGCAAAATGTTTTTAAACTTTGCAAGGTAGACTATCAGAAAAGTTTGGGGGTTTTTTTGGATTTTTTTTTTGGGGGGAGGAGTTGTGTGCTTGTTTTTTGGTTTTGGTTTTTTGTTTGTTTTTTTTTTGTTTTTAATAGAAAAAAATCTTTTATCTTGTAGGTCTTAAAACTGAGTGTTGAAATTTCCTGTGAAAATGCTTAGATATTATCAAGAAATAAAACTCTAGCAAAATGAATTTCATAAAAAGAAACAGAGAAAAAGGAATAAAACACAGAAGAGTTGCAGGCTGGTTTTAATGTTTCTTTTTTAGTTCTATTGCAACGGTGTTTCCTGTCTTTTCTAACTGATGCGAATTTCTCCTCTGAACATTCAGAGCTTGGTGCTGGACCACTGTTCCTTAGGAAGGCTGTTATCAGTGACTGAGATTTCTTTTTTCCCAAAGTTCAGCTTGTTGAACTCTGCTTTTATTTCCATGATGGATTTCCCCTTGGTCTCAGGGAGATACAGGTAGATGAAAATTGCTGAGAAAGCAAGGATTCCCAAAAAGATAAGGAAGCAGAAGGGTCCAAGGTTATCCTGAAAGCAGAAATGGGACACACTGTAAGGAAAATAAGAATCTCATTTCTGTTTCCCTGCCCTTGAGTGCAAGTCTGTGTCCAACTAATTAAAATTCAAAGGTGTGCTTAATACAAAGTTCAGGGTGGGTGTCAAACCAGGAGTTTCCGCAGGCCACCTCTGACCTGAGTCCAATTTCTGCTCCTCTGACAGGTCTGGGGGATTCCTCAGCAGGTTTGGTATTTGGACAGAGCTCTAAGCTTTGCATGTCATTGCAATTTACTGCTATTAATTTGCTCTCTGTCAGCACTCAGAAGTGGATTAGCTGGGAGGGAGGGAGGGAGGGATCCAGTTAGAGCACTTACAACAATCAGTGGAAAAATCATCCCAAGTACAAACAATCCCATCCAGTTGATGCAGCCAACAATCAGGAAGGCTGATGGTCTGAAGGACTGGCTGAAGATTTCAACCATGACAGACACAGTAGCTCCAGCTGAAAAAGAAAAGCAAAACACAAACCAGGTATACTTGTTTCCTTATTGCTGCCAAAGCCCCTCACAATGGCAGTGATAGAAAGTGACAGGCAGAATAGGTGGCCTGGTGGCAAGTGGCCTTTGCTATGAGGGTGAAACACCTTGATTCTGGAGAGGGACTACAGCTGCTTATTTAATTTTCTCTTGTACATAGTGGAATCCTTTTTCTGGTGCCAGTGGATCTGTGCAGTTCTGTATTGCACTGGTAGCAATTATTGGTGTAGTAATTTGCAAAATGAGCTTCCCTTTTGGCTCCCGTGGTCAGTTGCACCTGAAGCATGTTGGTAGGCATAAAGCTCAACTTACTAAGTTAATGAGGACGATTACTATAATACACATGGCAATGCCTAGAATCCTGAGTTTAGAGATGAGTATTTTAAAAAATGGTCAGAAATTTCTCAAACTCTCTGGAGAACATGATACTGTATTTTAAATTATTTAATCCTGTGATCAATAATAACATTCGAGGTGTCTGTATCCATTTCCTGTCCCCCACTTTTACAGGTCTGCCCTTTCTTCCTTAATTTCCAGAATTTCTTACCATGGGACTAATCTGTTCTTCATCTGCCAGTTGTGTCACTAACCAATAGGATACAAAATTTCCTCCCAGTGTTGCTGTTGATATACTCACATGGTCCACTTCCATAGAAGGTAACAAATAGGAAGATCAAGATAACACTGAAGTAATGCATCCAGAAAAAGTGGTGCTAAAAGTGAGAAACCAGTGATATCAAACCATTAGATAAATGTCAGAAAACCAGAACTCTGTATTTTCTGCCACTTACTCAAGTTTTTCTACATATCCTGTGAAGCAAGACCAGAAAGGGGGGCTGATGCTGAGTAAGTAGGCAGAAGGCTGTTGCCTCTTTACCTGCAGTGACAGGGTCATGGTGAGGAGTGCTAGCACAGAGCACATCAGTGTGTATCCTCCCCATAGCAGCACCTTCCTGCCAAATCGGTCTATGAGGGTGCTCTGAAAAGAAGAAAGCACAGGTCATAAATCCCAGTTCTCAGATGAAGTCATTCCTGCACAGATCTAGTCCAGAATATCAGAAAATTATTTTACAGAATAAAAATGAGTCTAAAGACATACAGTCATGCAATAACATGGGGAAAGAGCTCCCTCTTATCCTGCATGTGGTTTTACAGAAGCAGGAAGATGTGTGTTAGGTTATGCAAATCTGCCCTGATCACAGTTATAAGTAAGGAAAGTACAATTGTTGACTAAGTGAAATTTTTCCATCAAACTCAAGTCTGAAAAAACTTACACACAGTATAGAGGATAAGCATTCACACAATCCCACTCCCAGGGACACATATGGGATAAGGTATTCTTCAAATTTGGCTGTGTGAAATACTTCAAAAGAATAGAAGTATATCTGAAAAACGCAGAGAAGAAATGCACCTGTGAAAAAAGTGTTGCAATTGTGATGCAGTTCTAAGCTGGCATAATAACATGGATTTGGAGGGGTTTGTAACACTGCCTAGTGTTGTCGCTTGCTCTGGGGATAAAGAGAGCACTCAACTGCATTGATTCCACAGAGCTGCAAGGTCGTCATGACAATAATCAAAATGTAGAGTTGCCAGCGCAAAGACCGCTCTTTTATTAATTCGAGGACGCGCAAGGTTTTTGTGCTTGTCATTGCAACCTTCTCCTTCATAATGTCATCAATTTCTGCTTGATGGTCTCCTTCCCCCCAGAGCTTCCTGATGGCTGTTGGGGAGAAAAAGGGGAGTGAATTATTCTACGAGTATAGCTCCATCACAAGTGGTTACATTAAACACTTTAATCTGCCTGTCCATTGGCATAGGTGATGGGTTGGTACTGTCTGCTCCTGGGGAAGTAGGCAAAAGGAAGAATTTTGTTTCACTGGGTTTTGGTATAACATATCTTTCTAATTTGAGTTGACTTCATGTTGTGGTTTAACCCCAGCTGCAACAAAGTACCATCTATCTGCTCACTTACTTCCTGCTCTCCAGTGGGATGGGAAGGAGAATCAGAGAAAGGTAAAACCCATGGGTTGAGAAAAGAACAGATTAATATTTGAAGTAAAGTAAAATATAATGATGAGGATAATAATGTGGGGTGGTTTGTTGTTTTTTTTTAATAAGTAGAGGAATAAACCACAAGAAACACAAATGACACACAATACAATTGTTCACCACCCACTGACTGATGCCCAGCCCATCCTCAAGCAGTGATCTGTGGCTCCGAGGCAGCTCCCCCCCAGTTTATATACTAAGTATGATGTTCTATGGTATAGAATATACCTTTGACTAACTTGGGTCAGTTGTCCTGGCTGTGCTCACTCCCAGCTTCTTGTGCATCTGCTCACTGGCAGAGCATGGGAAACTGAAAAGTTCTTGATTTAGAGTAAACACTGCTCAGCAATGGCTAAAACGTCAGTGTTATCAACATTATTCTCAGACTACATACAAAACACCATTATACCAGCTACTAAGAAAAAAAAATTAAATCTATCCCAGCCAAAATCAGGAGACATAATTATAAACTAAGTAAACATTTAAGTACATTTTATTTAAAAGAGCTGTCTAAACCTTTTCCTTTAAAAAAAAAACAAAGTAGTGCCCGCTAAAGTGTGACATGTTAAACATGCCAGTACAATCCTATTTTTCCTGTCTTAACTGATTCGATCAGCCTGAATGAGGCCCCAGGTTAATACAGAGTATTGCCATGGGCGTCTCAGCTGTTTTATTTAGAGCTGTCTCTGCTATTACTCCATGGCACTGCACTGTGCTGTACATCTGTGCCCTTCTTTCTTGTCTGCTGCAGAGGGTGTCATTCTAACATATCAAATGAAGTGAAGTAAGCGTGGAAAGTAGACACTCTACCTTTCCTGCAGGCTTCCTCATTACCCTTCTGTATCAGGAGGTAGGATGGTGAATCAGGGAAAAATGGGAGGGTAGCCAGTTGAACCAATGCTGAAATTCCACTAGATGCTAACAACCATGGCCACAAAGCTTCACTTCCTAAAATCTCCCTGAAAAGTGTATGTGAAACAAAATTATGCTGATATAATGGAATAAATGTTCAGGAAGTCTTTCTGAGTGATGAAGATGGCTTAGATTCCATTTGAGGGTGCAGTGGAGCAAAACTAGAAATTGATAATTTGTCAAATTTCACAAATTTAGCTATTTTTATTTCTGACAATCTTAAAGGAATTATCTGGCATTTAAAAAAAACTTACTAAATATCATTAAGATCCAATGGAACATCTAGAGAGCTTCTGAGACATATTTGACCCCTGTTTGAGCGCAAGACTAGAACATCTTGATAAGACTTTTAATGTAAATGTAGTACATTTTGAAGGAAAAGTCCCCTAGTTGAAAGGATGTGGAGATAAGAAGAAATCAGATTCTGAGTAATTAATTTTCTGTCTCCTGTATGTAAAACTTTATGGTTGCATTAAATATGATGAAAACTTATCCTCTGACGTAAGCTAAGGCCTGTTTTGGGGAAGGTGAGAGGGTTTCTTAGGCACAGATTAAGTTAGAGGGTGGGGTTACAGAAAGATTTCTATTACTTTTAGTTCAACCTGAGAGAAAGATTGGAGAATTTACCGTAGTCCAATAACCTGTCCCATGAATTTTCCCAGTGTCAGAAAAACAGCAACTGTGGAGTTGGTAAATCCACGCAGCTTCTTGGGTGAAATCTCTCCTACATACTGAGGATGTATATTGAGAGAAAAACCTTAAACACAGAAAAGGATAAATGACTGTTAAAAGATTTAGAAAAGTATACCTTTCTGACTCCATCCTCTCTTACACTGTTCCCATTCACTCTGACATTTGGATTACAATTTCTTGCAAAAAGAATGATGCTATTAATTTCTATTAGGTGTCTAGTGTATTTGCTTTAAAAATCATTCTCCAAGAATGGTAACATCTGTAGAGACAATCCTGGGACAGCAAGGATGCTTGCAGTCCAAAGTAGCACGAGCACATACCTGTCCCAATGCCATAAAGAAAACGTCCAACCAGAATCATCTCAAAGGATTTGGCTGTTTTACTGAAGGCCATGAAAAGTGCAGCTATCAGCATGATCAGGTTGGTGCACATTTGGCACTTTTTTCTGGGGAAAAAAAGCAAAGAAAAGAAGCCCATGAGAAATTAGTTTGAAATGAGAACCCCTTGTTCTCTTTTGACTGATCTTGCTGTGAGAGAAAGCATAGTACAGCCATTGCTGGTTTGAGGAATGGCTGAAATAGTTTTGACTTTGAATAGTCAAAATGGTTCTTTAAAATTTCTAGGTCATTTAGATTTGAATTCATTCATATTTTTTTAGCTTAGAATTTAAACATTTGGAACACTTCATCAGCATTTCCACAGTACGAGTGGGGAAAGAGATCAAAGAATTGGCCCGGCCTGTCACCAAGATTTTTAAATGGCTGGAACTCCTTATAAAATGCCAGGTTGTTCTTCAGAAATAACCTGAGTCAGTGGCTCCCATTCTGGAATGGCTCATATTAAAGACACTCTTGTCTAAATGGAAGTGATAGAACGTGTTTTTAGAGACATATTTCAAAAGGCACTCTGTGTGAACTGTGGGCTGGATGTTCACAACACTGATGTATCAGACTCAAAGACTTTTGCTCTCATTTGTTTTGTTATGATGCTTGCTAGGCAAGAGTCCTCTTTCACACATTAAGGATTCACAGAGATCCTGTGTTTGGAAGACTGTGATTCAGCAATTAGGTTACCAGGTGTTGTATAACCTATGGTAGAAATGCATGATTTTGTTTCCGGTCTTGGGAGACCCTCTGAGTGTGGGATGAGGTAGTGTCCCACAAGAAATTTCTTGGGGGCACTTACCTGATAGGAAAGAACACAATTGCAGGCAGGCTAAGATGGTTTGTTGAGACCCATGAGGGGCCTCTGGATCAGTGGGTTGTGGAGCACATCTTTAAGTGAGTCACAGCAAGTAGATATGTTTGCCAATTTCTCTGCAAATGAAATTAGTGGTGTTACACACAAAGCACTGAGAACAGAGTAGACTGGTAGGAATCCTTTCTCCATCCAGTGGGAAAGATAGTTTGGAACTGACTTTCAACAAAATGGACTGCCAAGAGCAGAGAGAAATTCTCTTGGAGAATTTATGTTGGCGCCAATTGTATCTTTACAGCATGGTTACAGGCAATTTATTTTTTCCTATTCTCTTCACATTTTCATAAGATTAGATCTCAATATTTAATATAATTCCATCACCCCAAAATGAGTGTATTTAAATGGAAATCTGGCTTTTCTTCGACACTTAAGGATATCTTCCACACAGTGATTTCCAGGTGGCTAGAGTAACTGTGCATTATGTGTTGCAGAACAAGACACACAGCTCTTTCTTGGGGGGTTGTAAAGCTTGGGAGATCTTGAGTCATAGGGGATCTTGAAGAGAACATGAGGCAGGTACACTATTCTGTTACTCCCAGAGGCACCGATCAGTGATATGATGATGAATGCAGCCTTTACAGAAACACAGTTCACTGGGGAGGCAGATGCAGAAGAAAGACTGCTTGCTACTTGAAAGAGGTGGGTGTGCTAACAAACCCAAACAGTTGCCTTCCATCAGGCTGCTTCAACCAAAAAGAAGTTTTATGTGTTTACCTTGGTATTTCCCTGTACTTTCTGTCTATTGAGCTGTACAAGAAGCACTTACTTCCTGTATCTTGTAGTCAGGTAGCCACAGCAGAGGCTCCCCAGGAGTCCTCCGATCCCATAAACAGACACAATGAAGGACCACAACAGCATGATTGTCTCAGGATGGAGAGGAGAGCCATGTCGCTCTATCCAGGTTTCATTAATAAACTTCCTGATGTGCTGAAAAAGAAAATGAGATTTGACTGGATAATGGGTATAGAATTCCATTATTAATCTTATTTAGCTGTTGTACTTCAGGTATAGCCCATGCTTCTAATATTGAACTTATTTTGAGACTAACTTTGTTAGTAAAACAAGTTAGCTGAGATCACAGCGCAAACCCTCAAGTTTGTATCAGTAAGGAAGCTTCCTGGGAAGCATGATAAAAGCACATTTGCTGCCTTCATTTGGAGGCTTGTATGCTACGTGGTAAGACGTATTTAAAACAGGTATTTAAAACAGAAAATGCTTTAAGGAGAAAAAGTTCTCTACACGTTTGATGTTACTGTTAGCCAAAGAAAAGGCATCGATATCAATGCATCAGCTGAATGCTCAGTAAATTTGTGAGAGCCTGAAGAGCTCAGGCGTTTCATTTTGTGTTTTCGAATGTAGGGAGATGGCTACTTACCACAGAAGGATAGTTGATGACAGAAATGTGAAATCCGTATGGGAAGCTACCACCAATTCCTAGCACTAAGATCATTTGAACTAGTCCCTGGAACTGAACCTGTAAAGCAAAAATGAAACGCTCTGTCAGCTTTTCATTAGTTTTCTTGAGGTATCTGATACCACTGGTCATCCATCCTGTTTCCAAGTGCCTACCAGGCTAGATGTAGTTATCCTCAAACAGTTAAGAATGTACCTAGCAAACCAAACCCAGGACAATTGTGATTTTAGCCCCATCAGGATCTGTGCAGGGTTCTTTGAGGTTTAACTGTCTCTTCCTTTTTATTCAGCACATCACAGGCCAGGACAGTAGCATCATCTCTGTAGAGAGGAGAGTGTGTTCTGTGTTCTTTTCATGTCACATACTAACTTCATGAGCTCACAGCTTTTTGGAGATCAGTGCCTGGATGAAGAAGAGCTGGTAAAAAATGCAATCAGTCAGGAATAAAGTAATGCAAATGTGAATAGTGCTGGACTGGGAGATACTTAGGAAAACACTCCTCTGGTTGTTCTTAGGTCCGTATTTCAAGAGCCTGTGACTTAATTAGTCCACAGCTGGATTCCAAAAGTTATCACATGACAAGAATCAAGAAGCTGTGGCCAGAAGACTCTGAATTTCCTTACAGGTGCTGTCCCAAATGCAATGGATTTCCTAATTGGCAAAAGCATCAAGCAAATGAAGAACTCACCCTCTTACTCTTCATTTTCTATTTTTTATAATAGACTTACCAATTAACAATTTTGATATTTAAAAAGGAAAGTAAAATAGTTTCTTGCTGGCAGTTGTGAAATTGAGCAAGAAATACTTGTCACTTCTTCCCTTTTTAAGGCTTTGTGAATGATATTAAGTATCTTTGTACGAAATGAGGGAAGTCAATTATGTTAATGCATATGTCATGATTTCTTAGTCTTTTGCAGTACAGTTAATCTATTCCTTACTTTGGAAAGTTATCAGAGCGCTTAATAATTAATATTGTTCTCAGTAATTCACAAGACAACAGTAAAGTATCATTGTGAGTGCTGCAACTGCCAGCTTTTCTTTTCTTTTTTCTTTTCTTTTTTCTTTTCTTTTCTTTTCTTTTCTTTTCTTTTCTTTTCTTTTCTTTTCTTTTCTTTTCTTTTCTTTTCTTTTCTTTTCTTTTCTTTTCTTTTCTTTTCTTTTCTTTTCTTTTCTTTTCTTCTCTTCTCTTCTCTTCTCTTCTCTTCTCTTCTCTTCTCTTCTCTTCTCTTCTCTTCTCTTCTCTTTTCTTTTCTTTTCTTTTCTTTTCTTTTCTTTTCTTTTCTTTTCTTTTCTTTTATTTTCTTTTCTTTTCTTTTCTTTTCTTTTCTTTTCTTTATGTTGTTGCATGAAACAGACCATGCAACATGATTTTCATGGCCCCAAGCCGCATTGTTCTTGTTGATGTTTAAACACAGAGAAGAGAAAGATGTTCTCTGTACCAAAAGAGCTTACAATCTTTAGGTAATCTGGATTTTTAGTATGATGTTAGTTTTGTCCTTTATAAGTCAGAGCACTGAGAAAAAGTGAGCAGATACTCACCAGCTCAGAGAAAAAGGTGGCCATCTCCTATGAAAAAGCTGATTCGTGCTGCTTACTACGACCTGCTAAAAGAACCGAATGTTCACATTATGCAATAGCAGTGTCCGTGAACTAGTCCCATGTCATTGAAGTTAAATTTTACTTCAGAGGTTTTTGAGTTAATGATACATATTTCAGCTGTTGTACAAAGTTTAGAATTGCTGGATTAAATATTTCAACCAATGGTTATGTCCAGCCCAGTAAACAGAATGGTTTCCTTTGTGGGGAACCTGTATATTTCATGAACTCTGTTGTGCTAGGGGCCAGGGAACTGAAACACCAATTCTAAACAGAATTCCAATGATCATGATCATAACTTGCTTAGTTTTCAGTATAAGCTGAGAAGCATAAAGGCAAAGTTATCTGTTGGGAATTTAGATGGGGCTTGAACAGTGAACTATAGGACTTTGACATACAATAGGAAAGAGCTATTCTCCCTTCATGTGACAGCAGCTGGAGCACATGGTAACTTAATCATTACTTAAAGGAATTTAAATGCTCCATCATTTTGGAATGAGACTCAATATGAAAAATTACACAATGGCACTCCAGGCTTGAGCAGCTACATATTTAACAGTAGCTGATTTTCGTTTGCTAGGAGAGAAAGATTCAGCCTCATGCAGTTTTGTCTGGCATTTCTGTTAGCCAGTGTCTGTGAAGAAAAAAAGAAATGCATTGAAACTGTCCTTCGACCTACATAGCTGAATTGATGTCTCTCCCTTCAGACAGAAAATTCCCAAGCTTTAACTTCATTTATTGCAGAATTAGGAGGGATTTGTATGTATGAAGTTGGTAAATGGCTTATTGATCATTTGCCATTTACACTTCAGTTAAAGAAAAGGATAAAGAAATCATAAAGAGCTTATTGGATGCCAGCAGTTGTATTTGACAGAAAATACATGACATGCAAAGTATTCTGTAGCTAATGTCTGGAGTGTAGCAGGTAGCACCACCTGACCACTTGTCCCATCATTATGTGGTCCTTACCATGAAGCTGACTTTGTTAGTGTGTGCTGAGAGTTCATAGCATTTTCTTTTTCCAGATTTGGTTCTTCAGCAGATAAGATGTTAGAGCACAAACAAGACTGTAGACTGTCCCTTTGATGCTAAGAATTAATTTCCTTTTCTGTAAAGTCATACAAAATTGAAACAACCAAATGTGCATCTGACAAAGGAAGGAAATGCCATGTTAGCTGCTAGTATCTGCCTTGCTTGGATGATATTGGAGAAAGACAGAAGCAAGCAATAATATGTAGGTACAAGTGTGGGTCATTCCTTCAAAAAATGCTACCTCTTGCACATATTTCCTTATGTTCTACTTAACCTACTTCTATTTAGTATACTTTATGCATATAGTTACTTCTGTTCTTTGCTCTTGTACCTTAACTTAGGATTCCTATTTTGATCAGTTAAGGGTCTTCCTCCTGTAATGCTCTTCATGCCTAATGTCTTTTGCATTTGCGTTGATTGGTTACTGTGCTGCTTCTGTGCTCTTATTACTTGCACTGTGCTGAGGCCACCTTCATTAGATATGCAATTTCATAGTTAGTGCTAACAAGTTGTTAACAGGTACCTTATAGATACCTTTTAGTTATAATTGTGATGAGGATAGGAAATCTCACAACATCAGGTAATTTACCTTGCAGTTTCATGGGCACATGTAACACACGTGCAAAGCTGTGCTAATCCTTCCTTAATACAGGCTGGCTAGACCAGGTGTATAGTTTTTGTGTGTAGCTGACAGCAGATCCAGTTTGTAAGTGTTTGTATTTGCCCCAGTTAGAGCCAGTATTTGAGACATATCTTACCTACCAGCTAATATGTCTGGAAGAAAACGTCCATGTAGTGTTCCCGAAGACCCTGTATGGCTGTACTCTTTATCACCTCCCATGTATAGTTGAACTGTACCTTTTTGCTGTTTCATTCCTTGATCTGGCAGTTACCAGAATACAGTTCTTGCTCCACTGAGCACAGGCGAAGGCTGACCTGTGCTCCAAATAGCTGTTCCGCTTTGTTGTCACATTAATGTTCGATAGGGCATCTGCTCGCTTCTGTGAAGATCTTATGGGAAAGGCTTTCCTAATAACGTCTAATGAATAACTGAGATCAGAGAAGTGGCTCAGTAGAGAGTCACTCCATCAATGCTATACAATAGCACTCTGCTTACATTTCCAAAGAATTCAGCTGCTGTTGTAATGGAATGAAGGATGTTTTCAGCATGACTGGTTAGGAAAAGAGAATTCTGTTCTGCAACTGTTGAGATTTCCTTTTGATATTAGCAATTGTCTCCAAATGACTGTCATGTCTTTATCATGTTATACATATATGGAACACTACAAAATTATTGAGCTTTTCTGACTTTAAGGACACTTTGTGTTTTGTAGGTTATCTTGTAGTGAGAAGTCTTAAGTGCCCCTCAATCCTAAAGTCAAAGGAATAATGAAAACCCCTGATCATGGGAGGGTAAGCACACCAATAACTTAGTAGTAGTTGGATGTCCCTAGGGGAAATTCTGATGTTAGGAAGGAAATATTTATGGAGGCCAGAAGTTTTATCACAAGGCAATGTGCCATCTTTATTATGCTTAACATTTCCAGTTAAAAATAAGCAACAGTTATTATGAATAATTGAATTCATATTTTGAATTACTTTATTGGAGTTGAAGTATATATGCCAGTCAAAGAAATACCAGAGATTTAAAATTGTTTAGTGCGCTCCACTGTGAGCCTTTGTTTCGTTCATGTTCTTCCAAATAGTATTGCTTTGCTACTAGGACTGTGTGAAGGAAATGCGTGCAATATTAGACACTTTATAAAGAAAAGAAAAGTCCCATGAGTTTGAATACTTAAAAAAAGAAATCTGGTGAAATGAATCCGTGTGGTACTTTACAACGTCATACTATCCTGTAAGGCCTGCAAACTCTTTTGCCTTGAACTATGTATAGCAGGAAGAAGAATTAGGAGCTCACTATCAGAGAGCATTGCAGATTATTCACAGTTTGAAAGCCTGCAGTATGTGAACTCAAGCACAGATATTGATTATAGATCAGTGTAGAAAATTATATTGCATCCATTCCTACGACAGAGATCACTGGGAGTGATATATCACACTAAACTGTGAAGTCAGAAAACTTGCATATGATATGTTGTAATATTTTCTCACTTATCTTTGTGCACACTATGCGCTTCTAAAAATTGTCAAAACTCCCATGAGAGACTGTAAATTGAACCATAAATTGTTGGAAATGCTTAAATGAATGCCTTAGAAGTTCATATGTTAGAACATTTTCCACTTTTACTGTAAATCTTGTAAAGCCACGAGTACAACAAAATATTCAAGGCATAAAATGTTTAGAGTCATCTCTACAGCTGCCAGTCAGCACCTACACTTGCAGTGAGAATAACTGAAGAGTCTGTCCTGATTGCACATCCCTGAAAGAGGAGTATGTGTAATCACTTCTTAGTCATGATAGAGAAATACACCCTTAACAGGAGCCCTGCATGAATCCAAGAGCTGGAGGACATGACTGAGCTTTTGCTGACAGTTTGCTATATGTACATTACAGCAATTGTACAGGTGTTTTTAGGAAAAACTGTAAAGCAACAGGTATTCTGTTACATCCAGGAGTTTCAGTCTGAGGCAGTTCTGGGAGAATTTGGGCTCAGCTAGCTGGAAGTCACACAAAGCAAAGTAGTGGGTAATTGCTCTGGGATTCTCAGCTCATGAGGTATCTGTGGGAACTCTTATCCTTGAAGAGGAGCTACAGGTTCAAGATGATGGTGGTGATGGGCAAGATAGCATAGAGTATCTGTGAGAAAACCTAAATTTAAGTTGAAGAAGGGGTGGCTGTTGATATGGAAAACTTCAATCAAAAAGGGCTGAAGTTTGTGAGGCTATGTACAAAACAAAGACAGCATGGCAGTATGCATGGAAACCTGACACAGTTTGATTACTCAGTGGAGTGTAGAGAAACAAGGAATTTCTCTCCTATTTCACTGAGCTTTTTCTTGAATCTGTACCTTAGACAGAGATGGCAAGCCAAGAACATCACTATTCTGATTTCAGGGTTGTAAAAACACAGAAATCAGAGGGAGAGACTGGGGATCACAGGTATTCCCTTTCTCTGTAGTCAACAGAGTGTTTATCAATTCTACATGTACTTTCAGTGTGTATGAGTTGCTGTCTTAGAAGAGATGTACACATCAGCATGTTAAGCCAAAATGCTTGTGATTCATGTGAACCTATCCTGTTAATATCAGCCATCATCCTTTTTCTAAGCTGCCCAGGATGGAGTGCTTGAGAAAGGTGCTGGCTGGGCAAAATGGGAGCCTTACAAGTGACAGATGCAAAAGGTGACAGTCCATTTAGACCAACTTAGAATCATAGAATCATAGAATACTTAGGGTTGGAAAGGACTTTAAGATCATCTAGTTCCAACCCCCCTGCCATGGGCAGGGACAACTTCTAGTCAGAAAACAATTATCTGTTTTTTCCCTTCCTTTTAAGATAGCCTGACTGCCTATAACAGCTGGTCAGAGCCTGGTGCAGAAGGTGTAGTCCTCTGTGACATGGTTCGGAGTTGTTGGAATATACTTCTTTCTAAAGTTTAACTTATTGAATTCTTCTGTGATTTCCACGATTGATTTCCCTTTTGTTTCTGGAAGGAACAGGTGAATAATTGTCCCTGAAGTGAAAATTACTACCATAAAGATGAGGAAGCAGAAGTGCTTGAGTTTTTCCTGCAGGGAAAAGCAAAGTAAGAAAGAGAGCAATATCAGCATGTCTTTTCTTTTGCACTTTCTTTGCACAGTGTTCGTATTTGGGTACCAAAGTACTTTGAATTGGACAAGGAGCTCTTTGCATTTTGACCTTTGACAAATATTTCAGTCTGAATAAGTATCTTGGGCAAATCAGAGCCCTTCCATTGCAGAAGTGGGCTTGGGAGAGCAGATGCCAAGACCACTGTAGACTGACATGGCACTGGCATTTCATGCTGCTCTTCTTGCTCCAGGGGCCAACTCAAGCTTAGTGCCTATTGGAAGTGTCCCAGGGAAGGTGACTCACCACAATGAAGGGGAAGGTCGTTCCGATCACAAAGACGCCCAACCAGTTGAGAGTGGCGCCGATCACAAAGGCAGATGGTCTGCATGAGAACTTGGAAATTTCAACCCTAACAGAAACTGTGGCACCAGCTGAAAGTCAAAGCACAATAAGAATGTATGTTGCTCTGTTTTAGAAAAGAAAATGTTTGTGTCATCTTATAAACTGCTACACATCAGGTTTGTAAAGTGGTCCAGTGTTCAAATACATTTCTTGTGGAGTTTCAAGAATGATGTAGTTAACTCTTGAGAAAGTCTGGCATATTCTCATGAAAGAAGCTGTGTAAGGGTGGAATTACTATTATTTCTAACAAGAATTCCCAGGATGATACTGCTAGATCACCAATGAGTGATCTTCCCAGATTCACTTCCTGCCTATTTCAGTCATGTTTTGGAGTCACAGGACTTTGGCAGCTTTCAGTTAAGAAAAGAATTCAACCCTGCCGTACGGGAAGGAAAATGTTTTGAAAATGAATAGGCTTTTAATAATATTTTTAAAGAGGAGCAGGTACTGCACTGCTGAATATGTGGGACAAGTTGTGATATTGTAGAACACTGGATTTTAAAGAACTCTTGCTTTTCTTTTTCTTTTTTTCTGAGTATTAAAAAAACCCAAACAAACACATCTGCTTTTGCTCTATTTTCGCTGTATTTTTCCAGTGAGTACATTCTGCTGTGTTCTTTTCCTCTTGTTAGCAAAACCCGAATCTGATGGCACTGAAATTTATGGCTGATGATTGGACCCATAATGTTTAAACGACTATAAGATGAGGTTAAATTAATTTACTTATGCTAAACATTATGCAATATTATGCAGGATTTTCCTAGCCTCCCATGACTCTATTCCTTTATTTCTTCTGAATGAGCACTTACCTGGCCCAACTCCAAAGACAATTGCGAACAAGATAATCAGACAAAGGCTGCAGTATGGCATCCAGAAATACCAGTCCTAGGGAAAAAATCCAATGCATAACAAACTTCTGAGTGAAATCTGTTAATAGGTGATAAATGCTGCTTGTTTTCCAACACTGTAACCACAAGAGAAAACATACAATGTGTGGGAACTGGCAGAGAAATGTGATTGCTTTTTCCTGTGGTTGGAGCAGTGAGGTTTTTGTTAGGTGAACAGAGAAGCAGGTTTGCTAGTGCAGAGCAGCTGTTAAGCTTGGAAGCTTTCAGTTAAGTCTGGATAGTACTTTTCTCCCTGTCTTCCTTTCTTCTTGACCCCACAGTGCTTTTCCCAAGCCTTTGAGATGTGAGAAGGCCAAATCATATCTTTCTTCACTTTTGTTAATGATAGCTCCAATAACTGGTACTGAAAAGGAACTTTTCTGGATCTTAGGCTTCAATATGTGAAATCTCAGTGCTTCAGGAAAAAAGATTTCGCTCTCCTATGGTTGAGATCCGTCATGAGCGAAACAAAAATGGAAGTCTGCTGCCACCTTGCTTCAAGGCTAGTTTTACAGTACTAGCTATAGAGTAGCTCTTGGATGAATACTTGGTAACCCGGGAGATTTACTTACGAAGAAGCTACAGCAATGACAGTGTTACAGAAGTGAACCATTTTCAAGTCTGTGAACAGATATGTGCATCCTCATATATTCTGCAGCAAAGTTAAATTTCAAATTAACTGATGCAAAGAGCTTGGGTTTTTGTTGTTACTCATTAGAAACTGTGCTACTAGAAAGGGCCATTTTCCTAGGACTGTCTTTGGCCAGTGTTTGATGCTTGCAGTCCAATGAATTCAGTAATGAGTGCTAGTTTCCCAGTGTTTTATGTGCTCCTTGCTGCACTTGTGAGATCACACTGGAAGGCAGGACTACAAGAGAGTACTTGCTGAGAGATGGTTTGACCCTATAGACAAGCTTGATTTTCAGGATATTCCCCTCCCAGAGGGTAAGCTGTTAATACAAAAGTACAAAAGTTATTTTGGCACTTCTAAGCCTCACTTTACTTTCTCAGTAGCATAGTCCTGCCTGTGAGCAGAAGTTAGAATAATCTGCCCTGAGAAGAATTTCCTTACCTGTAGTGAGAGAGTCACAGTGATAGCAGCTAGCAATGAGCCCATGATAAAATAACCTCCTCTTAGGAGCACTTTCCTGCCCAGTCGCTCAATGATGGAGCTCTGAAGGACAGAATCACACTGGTATCAGTACCAGAAGAGCAACTTGAGACCCATTCCCAAAGTCATGCAACTTACACAGACTGCAGTAGCTACGAGTTCAGAGAGTCCAACAGAGAGGGTCATATAGGAGATCATTCTTTCATCAAAGCCAGCTGCCTGGAGGACTTCAAAAGTATAAAAATAAATCTGGAAGAAAACCCCATAAAACAGTAAGAGAAGAAATTAATTGATTTCTTACCTGTACCTGTGTGACACTGCCCTGGACAGGAGCTGCTAGCCAAGCAGCATGCAGCTCCAGTTTGGAATCTAGATGTCTGCACTCTGGATCTAGAATTCTGCAGTCTTTTTGATAGTATTCACTTTATTGGTGGACAAAGCCATTAAAAATTAAATTAATTAATTCATTTAATAAAGATGAAATGCTGGGCTAGAAAGACCTGCAGCTGCTGCAAAGTACTTAGGTTTGCAGAGTCCTCCTTTAGGAGCTTTCAGAAGCAGCCAGGTATATTGTCTCTTCTGGAGCCCAGCCAAAACCATAACTGTAGGTTATTCCCAAGAAGAAGAGTGTGGGTTATGCAGTCGTGAGGAGTCTGATGTTTCCTTTAGGTCAATAGGTGTTTTGGGACTTTAAGGGGGAAATACACTCAACTGCATTGATGCCACATAGCTGAACTGTGGCGGTCAGAACAACTATCATGTACAGCTGCCAACGGAAAGCTGGTTCTCTCATTAGCTCCAGGACACTCAAGATCTTGGTGTTTTTCATTGTTGCCTTCTCTTTCATGAAGTCATCAATCTCTGCTTGGTGATGGCCTTCACCCCAAAGCTGCCTTATGGCTGTGGAGGAGAAGGAGAGCGAGATCTGCCATGTTAATTTGTCTCTGTTGTTTGCTGCCTAAGGAGTATGGTGAATAGGTGATTCAAGTGTCTGGCTGTGGCTGTGGTGTGAAGCAGAGATGTCCTATAGGGTCTTCCAGAGCCCTGATCCCCTCCTGCAGAGGGACCTGTTGTGACAGAGGGGCCTAGTGAGGTGTACAATGACTCCCTCCCTGCTCAGGGGTCCAGTTTTCTCCTTTCCTCTTTCTCTCAGGATATGAACAGGGTACACAGCAAACAACCAGAGCTAAGGGGTGCTCTGTGGAGGCCTTCAGTGCAAACAGCCATGTATCATCTATCATTTATCATTTATCATAATTTGTCATCAGACTGACAGTACAGGTGGTTTCAGCTGAATGCCAAAGGTTTTGTAATACAGAACTGTAGAAGGAAGTAGTTTCATGTTCTGTGTGGGGACTATAACAAAAATACACTTAGTAGGTGTCCACAGAGTTGTCTTGGAAATGAGCAGGGAGAATCTTTGTCCTGTATATTTTTTCCATATGGGGAGATCAAGCATCACAAAACAATTGAAAGTCAAGTGGTGAACTGGAGCCCTTGGTTACCTTTTTTGCAGCCTTCCTGGTCTCCTTTATGCATGAGGAGATATGCTGGGGACTCAGGGAAGAAAGGCAGAGTGACCAGCTGGACCAGTGCTGGAAATCCACAGGAGGCCATCAGCAAGGGCCATAGGTACTGGCTGCCTAGTAGCTCCCTGGTGGGAATGTAAGTTCATTGCATTGGTTTTGAGGAAAGGAATGGATGGAAAAGCAGAGGAAGAAGCAAAAGGTAGAAGGGATCCAGAAATTAAGTGGGTGCAAAATCAATTGTATTCTACCTTTGTCCTGAAATCTGCCCTATGGCTTTTCCCAGAGACCAAAAGAAAGAGGAAGTAGAGTTTGCAAATCCACGTAGCTTCTTAGGGGAAATTTCTCCAACATATTGATGATGTAGAGGAGCACAAAGACCTTGGGGTGAGGAGAGAATTGTGGGAGAGAAGAAAGAAGACATTCACAGCCACTGGAAACAAAATTGCATGTAAATAATGAAGCAGGACAGAATACCGCTGCCTCATGCACTGAAGCATTTCTTATACCTCAACCCACATAGGAGATTTTCAGTACTAGATTTTCTAACCCCTTCTGCAAAAGTATTTGGTCCTCTTTGCATAGAGTAGATTTCTGATCTGAAGAAATAGACAGTTTTCCTTTTAGGGTAAACTATCAGCATAGTATCTCTTGTAACAGTATATTTTAGAGAGGGCAGAATATGCAAGTGCTAAATAGCTAAACACCCTGTAGTAATATTTAATATGCTTGTTGTTAACCTACATCATCTCAACCTTTTCTGACATAATGCTGTAGAATAGTTGTAAGGTAGATCCACAGCAGATTAAAATGCACAGTGCTATACTCAACATTGATTTGTACATGATTTAGGGGAGACTCAAGTATTCCTTTCCTACTGTCCAGCAATAATTTTGATGATTTCAGGCAGAGTTGGTGTTTCCAGCTATATGTGAAGTACTTAATAGCTCAGACATGCTGAAAACTAGTCTGGGAACAAGAGCTTTTTCCTAATATGGTGGTCACAGCCCCTTTTATCTGTTTTGAAAGCAACATGTTCTCTTGGCTTTATTTCATGGTAAAGCAATGCAGATGTCCAATCTCTAACAAAAATAAGCTTTTTTGCATGAAGCACCATACATATTCTAGACCATAGCAGGGCCCCTGTGGGTAAGTAGCTCTCAAAATACAACTGTAGTCCTTCAATACAACTCTATGTCAGAGAAACAATATACAAAATATGGTTATGGTTTGAAAAATAGACATTAATTTCTACTGAAATAGGTTAAAATAGGCACCTCTGTGAATATCCAAACTGAATGGGAAAGTATTTTTTTTGTGTAGGAGACAAATACAAGGCATACTGACGCCAGCAGAGGGTGGTTTTGCTGTATGTGGAATGAATTACTGGCAGGAGTTACTTTGCTTGATTATGCCCAGCTTTTTGTACTAACCCCAAGGAATTACTGCTTTGAAGCAGGTTGAATACCCTTGACGAACATTCCTGATATATGTTAGACTCAAAATTGAATGGCTGTAGCCTTGAACAGACTGATTCTCTGGAGTCTTATGGGAATACCAGATTTAAACCATATACCATGTAATTCAGGACTGTTAATTAAAATTCAGATAATATTATACATATTTCTCCATCAGTAAAAAAAAACCTTTGTTTCATATTGTACCAAAACATTCCTGATAGCTCGGAATATTTATACACTTGGCAAAGCTGAATTTCATTTTAGTGAAATTAGTAGTAATCACGCTATTCGTTGCTGGGTGTTATAGAAGATCTTCTGCCAAGGGGTCACTGCCTTTAATATTTTATTTTCTTAGTGCAGGGTTATTATTTACTCTGAATAAAGATGTAAAATGTGGTGAGATCCTGCTGACCTGTGGAAGAAATCACTTACCTGCACTTACTCCACACAGGAAGCGTCCAATCAGAATCATCTCAAAGGACTGGGCTATTTTACTGCAGCCCATGATAGATGCTGATGTTATCATGAGTACATTGGTGCACAGGAGACATTTCTTTCTGTAAGTGCAAGAAAGAAAAAAGAGTTTTCATAAGTCAGAAGGGAAATGGTACTTAAACTCCTGGCATATGGAATGTCTTGGGTGAATTTGGCTTGCTAGTTTTGTGGCATGTGTGGTCCAGGACAAAATAATCCCATCCACACTATTGGCACTAGATACTGCGGACTCACTGTGTGCCTTGGCACATGTCTAGACCTGGGAGTCTGTGAATGCTGAGAAAAGTCACAGAAAATGCTGAGTCTGTTTCATAACTGAGAAAAGTCTTAAAGCTTTTCTGCACGTGAAAATCCATCATGGAACACATTTATATAGCGCTTAGGAGCATCTCAGTGCTGCTGTATGTTCTATCTTCAGCCAGGGGGTTGCCTTTCCTCTGTGCAGAGACTAACCCAACCTGAATAACTGTGTCTGGTGTGAGAGGCTGGCAGCACAGTTGATTAGCCCGTGCCACAGGACAAGGGCAAGAAACATCGAAGTCTGTTGACACCACTGCTAAAGCTGCTGCATGTCTACAGGCATGTCTAAGCCCAACAGTCTGTCTCATGTTTAAAACCTCAGCTGTCATTTCCTTAAGCAAGATTCAATTGACAGATTGTCTTTAAACATACATACTTGCCGTATTTGACCGTCAGGTATCTAGTTCCTGAAGAACCCAAGAGACCTCCTATACCATAGATGGACACGGTGATAGACCACAGGAACAAGAGGTTATCTTGATGGATGGGGTAGCCATATCGCTCCAGCCAAGTTTCATTAATGAAAGCCTTAACATGCTGAGGCACAAAGAAGAATTTTCACTAGCAATACCCGTGACTCCAGTGCATGGATTATATTTAGAACACAATTTTGTTGCTTCAACTTCAGTAACTTTTTCATATAGACTCTAAAAACATAGCTAATAGACATAGCCTAATGGAGTATGCTGTGTTAATTTTGCCGTGAAAAGAAGTTAATTCTTTGGGCATTTTTGTCTTTGAAATCTGACAAGCTGAGGCACAGACTTGTACTAAAGAACAGTGTGAACAGCCCTGTAAATTCTGCAGATGTATGATGGGCTTGCTCTCACATACGTGCCAATAATACCAGGTTACACAGTGACTGTTCAGTGCAGTTTCTAAATACTTTCTCAGTCTGAACTTAGTGTTCTGAAGCCTGAAAATAGCACTTTTCCCATAAGGTGATCTCTACAACATAATAATGTCTTCCCTCTAGACCCCAGTATCTCAAAAGGAAGTTCTGTGTTCAGTGGAGAGAAGCAGACACTTTTCTAGAACGTGGTTCACTTGATCTGTTCTATTTGTCTGTGAAGATGGGTAACTATAACATTATCAAGTGGAACCACTGAAGTAGGTTTATACCTACATGTAAAATACAGATGTGCTGTAGGTTTATAGGGAAGGCAGATGACACCTCAGTCAGTATGTGTCTTCTGAGGAATAGTTGTATTAACAGCAACTTGCAGATGTCTCTCTTTTTTCCTATCTTCAGCAGTTTGATATGTTCTGCTTTACACAATAGCATAGCAATGGGAATGAAGCATGAGAGAAGAATACTATGATTAAACCCTTGCTGACTGCCAGGGAGAAGCATCCTCAAACAGAAATGTAGACTCAGAGCTGCTGTTAACCAGCGTGCCATGTGCTTTTTTGCCTACCTGAGACACATAGGTGATTGTAGAAATTTGAAAGCCAATTTGGAATGTCCCCCCAATCCCGAGGATGGTGACCATCTGAAAGAACCCCTGGTACTGTACCTGCAGAGGTAGAACAAAATTTTAAGCTTGTAGCTACGTCAGACTGTTCTTGCAATGTGTCTTTCACTCTCCAGCAGCATCTCATTTGCTCAAGGGGCTTGCAGGTAGGAAAGTTCCCTCTGCTTGTCCTGGTGTGAGGCATACATCCCTCTGTGATTTCCCAACATCCAATTCAAGGAAATGCAGCCTTTAGCTATGGAAACCATTTCATTTCTCTCCCCTCTTCTATCATTAGTCAACAGAGTAGCAAGGTCATTCCACACTTCAGGGCTAATACACGTGAGAGTGCTTTTGGGGAGGGAAGTCTTATTTCCTCTCCGCTACCTGGATAGTGGCCAGGCTACCTGTGCCCACAGCAGTGACTGGGCCATCTGTACCCAGACCTTTTCTGCCTTACCTGAGGCAGCAGCTGCTGTGCCAGATACTTTTCAGGCCCTTGAATAGTGGGCAGTGTTTCCTCTATTCAAGTTTTGTGTCAAAGCTGTGGTCAGTTCTGAGCTCTTGCTCCACCTGCCTGTCTCGTTAACCTTTTGGAAGCTTTGAGAGCAGGCATCCCACTTCAGTTTTCTTTTTCTGGTTGATTACGGATCTGGGAATACACAATCAGTACTGCTCTTAGGTTTACCCTACAGCAGCCTTTACAGCAGCACACAGTGAATATGCTGTGAATGAATGAAAAATGGTCTGCCTTTCAGAGGTGCTGTATTCCTCTTTCCTGCATGAGAGGTTAAGTGTGCTCAGCAAGAGCTGAGAGCTATTTTTCAGAGAGACTTTGTCCTATTTGGAAGTGCCTCACTGACGTATGAGGCAGCAACTAGTTCAAGACTCAGCCACAGCCAGGATATAAATGTTGCAAACTCCCACAAACATCGCTGTTAAGATGCCCCAGCTGCTGATATCCTGTCCAGTTTCCTGCCTTTCAAAACTTCTGCCTGCCATCTCCTGGGCTAAATTCATTCTGTATCTTACAAAATTCTTTCTTCAGCAGGCAAGCAAAGCAAAATACATTTGAAGGTAAGCAAAGATTTTCCAGTGAATGAAAACATTTAAGAAACATTAACATGTTGACGAAATGTGGCAAAGATGGATGGCAGAGCATATGGAATGCATTAATACCTCAAAACAGTGGTCAGAACCTCTTCCAAGATGATTTTAGTGAATAGGAGCCTTGTTGTTTTTACTGAAATACTGATTTTGTTTTCTTTGAGACACCAGTAGTGTACAAAAATGTCCCACATTTTTGTATATTTGTAAATACCCCATCAAGCACTTACCAGGTCTGATAAGAAGCCGGTCATCTCTGTCTAGGGGCTGGTTGTCCAGTGTGTGATGTGTCTGTCATCACAAGCTTCATCTGCCTCCTGCCTGCTGGTGTGGCAGTGGGCATTTGGCTTCAGGGATCAGAGTTAAATTTTTACTATTTCCTCTTCAGTCACTTACTTTTACTTCAACTGGCCAAAGTTAACACTGATGGATTAAACATTTTGGGACATAATTGCATCTAGTTCAACTAGGGGGAAAGTTTCAAAGGCAGAAAGTTTGCATCTGGGGGGTAGTGAGGTTTTTGGAAAGGGAAAGGGGAACAATCCAGGCAAAAAAAATCAAAACAGTTTTCCAGGAACAGTAAAAGACTTTACTTCTATGATGCAGACCAGTGAGTATATCTGCCATAACCTGCACAAAGCAAAAAGCAGCTGGCACAAGGTTTAGGTATTGCTATTTAAGTAAAATGTGTGATGTTTCGTTTCAGATTAATTAGTATAGTAAATATAATTTATTAGAAGAAAATAAGACAAATTTCAAAGCCTAATTCTGCCGTTATGGCTTTCTGTACCAGAAAGACTGTATTGAGGAAGGGTGTTTCTTCTCTGGTGTTTATGGGGATGTTTGTCAGGCAGGTATGGTGAAAAGGGAGTAAGAGATACTGTGCCCTGGCAGGAGCTTTTGGAATAGAGCATTTGGTCCTGAAGGTTCTGCTTGGTGCAGCCAGTTAACTAAGACCTACTTACTCATGACAGTAATCAAAGAAGGTAAAAAAATCCTTAATGAGTTAGGATGGGACAACTGGGATCTTAATCCCTCAGGTTTCAGCTTTCACACAGAATAACTCCAAAATCAGTGTTGCAGCCACTGAAAAAGTCACCTTTGGTTCCCAGTGGTTCCTCTCTTGTGAAGTGAAGCTCTAACTGTAGCTCTACATGGCTTCTGCTAGAGAGAGCACTTGAAAGAAAGAGATTTGCCCAGAGCTTTCATGTGTGGTTGATGCTCTGAGCTGTTCTTGCTTTCAGAGGCTTCTGCTTGCTCTTACTCATGCCAGAGGACTTTCATCTGCCCCCAAGGCTTGGGGGCAGAGCAGATGGGGCAATGGGGTTGTACTGAAGCCGTCAGTAAATGCTCAAGCTCATCCTCAGGACTTGTATCTTCAGTTCTTGTAACACAGAATGCAATTATTTACAGAGGGTTTACTGCAAATACTATGAGTCTAAAGAAATGAGAAAAAAACAGTGTTAATAATAAAACCTTGGTGGCTTGTGTAATTCCAACTATTGCCTATATAACTGCATGGCAACTGCTGTTTACCCTGGCTTGAAATAGCATTTAGAATGATTTGGCATTTTTGTATTTTCTCTTTAACACCAGTGATTGTAACAGTTGGATTGTACAAAAAATTAGTCAATAGCATTTACTGTTTCAAAATGTTAATGATCACTTTTTACTGTATATTTTTTCTCAGATTATGAGGGTTATGTCAGAAAACACAATGGGACAAAAAACTTGCATTGGAAACAATGGACTGCATGTGTGATACCACCTCTAATTGAAGCACTGGTTAGCAAGCAACTGGGGTACATTTCTATCAGTGTCTTGTCCTGTTTGGTGATTGTTGAGAAAATGCTTCTTTTCAAGAATGGGTTTGAAATAGAAAATGTCCTTTTAAAAGCTTTTCACATGCTTTTAACAGCAAGAAATGGCTATCATTTTAGTTTCCATCCTGGATATCATCTCATGCAAGTTATGTGTGGTCCAAAAAAAGAATAGATACACCTTTCATCATCATTTAGTGTTGGACCTATAGGAGTGAAAATAGAGGTGTTCATGCTGTGAATTTCCTGAGGGAGATGAGGGGATTCACATGAAGCTTTTTCCTTTCTCTTTCACTATTTCTAGAGCTATTTTAGCCTCACTGTGTCCAGGCAGGCCCAAGAAAAGAGACAAAAATATGGGATGAGATGCCTTCTAGCCAGTTTTATTAGCTCATCTGACAACAGCTACCAAAGCCATAATATTTACAGAACGTAACCTCCTTTAGGCAGGTACAAACATAACTCTGACACACTAATGGTAATGCCACTGTTTGTATTCAGTTCTGTTGCAGCCTCATAACAGTGAGTTTGGCCTGTACTGGAATAAGTGAGGCCAGATGGCACCTGAATTTCCAATTTCTTTTTAAAGATGTTAGTCACAGCAATGACACTGAAGTAGTAGTACAAATATGAGAAATAGTTTAGTTGTTTTGTCTCTCCTTTTGAGTAAAAGATAGGGAGGGTGAGTAGCAAAAAAAAATATGAAATCTTGCTTGGAGAAGTATGAGAAAGAGAGTCCTTGGCATGGGGTTAAAACAATGTGCAAACCTTAATAGTGTCAGGTTAATCATATACTCTGTGGTTTATCAGTACCTGTAAGAGGTGCAGCTATAGTAAGCATTTGGGAGAGCAGGCCTTTTGATGTTTGGCACATTGGATTTGTGCAGCCTGGGAAGATGAATGCTTGAGATGGAAAGGTTTGTTAAAGCCATGAAGGAGTGAAGGTGCCCAGCAAGACTACCTGTGAAGGACTGACTTCTTGCAGGAGACACTGGAGCTGTATCAGAGGCAGCATGGCTGGACTTCCTAAGAGAGGGACAGAGGGATCCAAGGCTTGTGCTTTTAAACCTGACATGATGCTGGGTGACAGGGATGAACAATCCCTCTGCGAAGTTCCAGCTGTGCTTCTGCTGAGATCAGTTCCTTCAAAAGCACCAGCAAAGACAAAGGGACACTGACCAACGTTACAAGAGAAAATTCTCTCTTCTGTATGTGCAGGAAGGTTGGGACTCCTGGTAAGAAGATATGAAAAAGAGAAAGAGGAAAGTAAAATTAGAGAGAAGGAACTGACAAGTGAAAGTGGAAGTTACCACAACAGAACACACTATTGATCTGGTACAGTACCAATAGTGAACACTGATCCTGTTTTTCCATATGTCTATTTGCTTAGCTATAGCTCCATGGCTTTAATGTCTGTTCAGCACAGTTGAGAAGTACTACCATTCGCAAGTGCACCATCTTGTGAAATTTGTGCTAACTGGGAAAGAACAGCATGGAAGAAGAGAAATGTTATATTTGTGTTCTGTTCTGTCTCATGCTGGTCTTACTTTCAAACAGGCAACTCAGGCATTAGAAATTCCCTTTTACAACATTGTCAGGGAAGCTGCAAGCTGTATGGCAGAACTGCTACAGAGGGGATGGGGGAAGAGGGCACGGTGGCAACAAAAAGCATAAGATTTCATCCTGTATACAGGCAGCACCTTGGTAGTCATTTTGGAATCAAATATATGGGGGGGCACAGGAGCTGTTGTGGGGAGGTCAACAACAAGATAGATAAGCCAGTCTGTCCCAGTGTTGTGTTATTGCAGAATAGATGTCTGTAATTCAGAACTTCTTTAATAACATGATGCATTTATACAGCACTTTGTCAGCTCAGTGAAGCTCTCTCTTCTTCTGTTAGGTAGGTAGATAGTGAACAGCAGTTTTCCAAATAAAGAGTGGTAGACGGAAGGGCAAAAAATCCAAAGACAAATCAGCAGCCAGTTGATGGCCAGGAGAAAATCTCACGACTTTCCTGCACCTTCTGCTTAAGTAACCATCTGACTCTGAGGTTAATGTTTACTTCGTATGATTTCTATTGATTTATGGTCTTTGCAGCAATTGGTCAGTGCTTAGAATGGATGGATTAAATATTTCAATGACTCAATGGAAGAGGTCTCTGAATGGAAACATTGGGTAGTGTGAGTGCTCCATATTTTGAAACAGGAAGTGAAAATAGATCGAATATAAAATGAACCCAGGTTCCGGCTGCTGGACACACACTGGCATTTTAATATCAGAGCTTCTTCTGTGGCTATTTCTTTAGAAGAAGCAAGCACATTATTTGACATTTTAAAACAGAAAAATCCCTTATCCTGTTTCAGTGCCCCACCACAAGGTTAATCGATATGAATGGTTAAACTGCATGCTAAACAGGAGGCATGGTATAGCATTTGTAACTGTGATGGGAAACGGAAAGACAACAAAGAGATGTTGTGCCCTGGCAGGCAACATATACAAAGGTAGAAGAGTTTTGGGAGGGAAGTGACTAAATGGTGCAGTGGTCAGCAGGGCTGACAGCTCTTGAAAAGCAGCAGTACATGGGTGCTGTGGAGCATAGCAACGGTAAAAGTGTAGTATTGTAAGCTGATGTGACACTGGTGGAGTGCAATGTGTCCTAGACCATTACACAGACAGAGCACATTGCTTGTCACAGTTTCTGCTTTATTTATTTATTTTAGCAGTTAATTATTTATAAACTGGACTGAATTTCCAGTGTCTACTCTCTGTATTCTCTTGGTACTCTCTGAAAGTGTCTCACTTCCTGTTTCACTCCAGGGCTCTAGCTGTCAGCACTGCCTGTATGTTTGTTAAACTTGTGCCACTCATCAGGTACTCAGAATAAGGCTGAGAGCACTGCTTACACTACAAATATTTCCTCCAGACTTTGCTACAACTGATATGCATGGAAAGTGCAGTCAGTTTGCTCCAGAGGATTCAGGTGAGAGTTCTTTGGTACCAACCCAGGGATCAGGGCTGATCTCTGACAGTCATTATAGGACGTACAGTTACTTGATGTCAGCTCAAGAAAATAGGAACAAAATTGAGTTCTCCTTGTTATCCTACCTGGTATTTGTTCATGTGCAGTGTTCATGATCAAGGTCCTTTACAGTGTGATAACATAAGGAGATCACATGAAAATAGTTTTCAAGAACTATGTTTATGTTTAATCTTTTCTTCATACCACTCTTAATCCTGAGCAGAGCTTTCTTACAAAATAAGACAGAGACAAATCCTCTTCTTTAAAATGACAGCATAGGAGAAAGAATTGAGATGAAATTGATGTGTTACACTTGAAAATGTTTTCCATGTGCCAGTTCTGAGAAGCGTCTGTAGTTATTAATGTCTTCCTGCCTATTCCTAGCTGTTTTAGGAAGGAGCCATTGTCTCTCACCATGAAAAGCAAAGATAAAGATAAATGTAAAATAGGACTACTTGGATTAATAACAAGCTATCTCTGGATTACATTTTGCGTTACATTTTATTGAGAAAAGTCCATGTTAAGGTTTAGTTTTCAGTTTGATTTTGAGACAGGGCTTTTTGTCAGTGGGAGTTGCTTGGTGACCTATCAGAGCTTGGTGCAGAATGTCTTCTCTTCAGTAGCATTCTTCTCCACAATCTGATGATGTTTCTTCTTAACCTGGCATGTTTTGAATTCCTCTGTGATTTCAGAGGCTGATTTCCCTTTTGTTTCTGGGAGGAATAGGTAGATGAGAGCCGCTGAAATGACCAGGACAGCAATAAAGATGAGGAAGCAAAAAGGACCAAGGAACATCTAGAGATAAAAATAGAACAAGATAAGTGATTTCCCCTGACAGCACTTTGCCTCTAAAGATTCTTGAACACTGTTGATTTGCCCCTGTGAAATGAGGAATAAGTTGGTTTTACACAAGGAGTATCTATTTATCTTTTTAATCTAGTCTTGAGGCAGCAGGTGATGTCTGAAGTTGAGAGAAGTGTTTTACATAGATGGCGTCCTTATACCAGTAGGAATAAGAGATCCACAGCTTTGATCATCTACAAGGCATTTCATCCTACTCCCTGTCCAGAGCAGCCTAGAAAACCAGTTTAAATTGATAGAGTCAAAAAGAATATTTGAATCAAATTACATACAACAGCAAAGGGGAAAATCATTCCTGTGAAAGTGAGGCCAAGCCAGATGATGATTCCACCGATTACAAAAGCAGAGGACCTTGTCGAAAGGGTGAAGATTTCATTCGTGACAGATGTGATGGCTCCAGCTGAGGAAAAAACATAAAAAAGCAATAGAAACACTGTTGCATTTAACCATTTTCCTCAAAGTGAATGAGCTGGTGTCACTGGTCAAACACAGCCCCAGTAAGTCAGACTACTGTGAGATCATCTACATTTGGGCAGCACAGCCATCTCTATCTGAATTCACCTACAGACTTCTCTGGTGGTCCATGGAGCACCAAGTGCAGTTTCTAGCTACCTAACATGTATAAAATATAGAGATGAATGGCCTGAATGGCCTATTCTCTCCACTGCCTGTAGGAGACACCTGGGTTCTGCTACCATGGGAATTCTATCAGGTTTTCAAGATGTTCATGGTCCTCATAGGTAATAATACAATAATAATAAAGTCTTAATAATAATAAAGGCTTAATTAAAAAGTTATTTTTTTAATAGTAAAGGCTGCCGTTTGAATTTGGAGACTGAAATAACTTAAAGTTGTGTTTATTCAGGGACCTCTCAGGGTAGATCCTGGTTTTATGTGAGTGAGGTCCTGGTAGAGAGCTGTAAGTTTGGATCTGGTATGTACTGATGTATGTGGTTCAGAGTGGCATTAAGAGGGGATGAGAAAGCACTGAGCAATGCTAACAGAGAGACTTTGTGTGCTACCAGGTGTCATTCTTTAATAAAGTAGAATTTTACAGGTAAGTTGAGAAAACTCTGATAGTTTAGAAGGGGCTATCTCTGCCACAGGCAGAGGATGGAGCAGTTGAGCCTGTGTGCCCTGAACAGCATTGACACCCTCCAACACAAGTCTTAGTGAATTGATTAAAAAGGGTTTTTTTTTGGCTTGAACCTGTAATTCAGTGAGAAGAAACAGGGTTCTGATCCATCAGGGTCTGAGTAATTTAAAATAATTTGTTAAGAAAATTATTTCTTGGGTCATAAATTCATCAAAAATTGGGACTCCCACCATTGCAGTGCAAACTAAGCTGTTGATTTTCAAAGGTATATTCACGCAGTCTAGTTCTACTTCCATACATTCATGGCTTGTGCTTATCCATGTGGTCCAAGGTTGTTGCTTTTCTTGTTGTACTCACCTGGTCCTAACCCATAGGCAATGATGAATAAAAAGATAAGAATAACACTGCAGTACCGCATCCAGAGGAACTGATCCTAGACAAAGACAAAAGGATGGAAGTGAATGAAAATTAATATTATAGCTGTAGCATGGCTGATCCAAATGTACAGGAGAAGCAATTATTAATGTAAATGCTCATGACACTCAGCTCTGTAGTAGGTGCTCACTAGAGCTACTTATCTTTCTGTACTGAATGCAGTAGAAGGCCAGGAGTAGCCTGCAGTGTCCTGCCTACAGAGGTGAGCTGAACTGCACCCTGGTCTGAAAAACAAGTAACAAATTCCAAGGTAATTATAATATGTGGAGAATTGTTACTGATTTAACCTGATTATCTTACTGAATGAGACAACCTCAGAGAAATGTTTAAGTCTCTTGTGAACCAGAAGATATCTGTGAAGCAGAAAGAAGCTGAAAGTATATGGACTGAGACCACAACTGCAGTGCAGTGCAAACACCAGTGCTACTGGAGCCATGACACTGGGTTACTCACTACTTTCCACCATCCCAACTAGAAGCAGCTAGTAAGCTGCAGTATGTAGTGAGATCACTTGTATCAAGGGTAGGAAATTGGTGGGGTTTGGAAGTGTCATTACACACTGTTTCTGCTGCAGGAGGCATGGGACAGCAAATGGGAAAGGTGGTAGCACAGATGCTCATGTACGGATTTAAAAGACAGCAGAACAAGACATAGAATCATAGAATCATAGAATAGTTAGGGTTGGAGAGGACCTTAAGATCATTCAGTTCCAACCCCCTTGCCATGGGCAGGGACATCTCACACTAAACCATGTCACCCAAGGCTTCGTCCCACCTGGCCTTGAGCACTGCCAGGGATGGAGCATTCACAACCTCCCCGGGCAACCCATTCCAGTGCCTCGCCACCCTAACAGGAAAGAATTTCCTCAATAGTCCGTGGGACTTACTAGAGCAGGCAGCCTCTCTGCCACATCCCTGATCCGTGCCCCTGGTAGGCAACACACCTCCCATGAGATTTGGAGAGATCAGAGCTGGAGGAAAGCTCTGCCAGACCAATGGCTTTACAAAATGTTTCTCACTGACTGTTTGAAAGCCTGATTAAAAAAGATGAACCACAGTGCAGGTCCACAAAACCCTTGCAAAGAGGCTGAGTTTGTATTCAGAAGATATCCTGACCTACTATTTTGGACATGAAAGCTAAGGCTGATTATCTGCCACCCTGCACAAAGAGTTCTGACACAGCTCCACTCCCAGAGAGACATTTACTTACGCTCAGTAGAAGACTTATTTCAAGCAGCGTGAGTATCAGTGCCATCAGCAAATAACCACCCCACAGGAGTATCCGGCGTCCACAGCGATCAATAATGGAGCTCTGAGGAGCAGAAAAAACTTGCATCTCACTGGAAGCATGGCAAAATCCAGCTGTCAGCCATCCAACAACTCAAGCATTCTTCCTGAGTTCTTTTTTATTTTAGAGAACACAAATCTTACTGGTACAATGTTTGTTATTTTATTGAATTCCTTCCAGCCTCTCTAATATTATGAATTACCACTGCTGCCCAGCACTGCAGTTACTTCTTCATAAATACTGTATTCAGTGGAAGCATTCTTTAGTTCATAGGGAGAATATTCATTTTCTTTCAGGAAGAATAGAGTCAACTCACATGTACTTTAACTGTTAAAGCCCCAGAGAGGTCTGACTTACACAGAAGATGAGAGAGATGAGCTCGGAAACTGCAACTCCTAGAGATACATATGGGATTATGCTTTCCTTCAGGTTAGCTGTCTGAAAAATTTCTGAGGTGTAGAATGTGATCTGGGAAACAAGAAAAAATTCCAAAATGAAGCATAGTCAATAGATATGATATGTGCTTACCCAGCATCATTTAGTACAAGACTTGTCATCACTGCAAAAGCAACAGTACGTTGTTGGGGCTTAGTGGAGGAAACATACTTGCCTGAGATGTGAAAATTCAAAAAGGTAATGGAGATGAAGAAAAGGTATTTGAAAGGCCAGGGGGGAAAAAAACCCAACCAACACAGAGGTGCCTCCTCTGCCCACAGTGCTGGAAAGTATAATGAACAAGCTCCAGCAGAATGCAGTGTTTCTGGAGAAAGACCCATAGGTGAGTGATAAAAATGATAGGCAGGGGAATGACTCTTAGCTTGAGCTGTACTGGGCACAGCCACCTTTATGTGGAAACAACTGAAAGGAAATTACTTAAAGGATAGATCTCCTTTATCAAATGGAATGACAATTGAATAGCAATAGCTGACCATCTACTACTGCAGAGGTCAGAAAGTGGAGCTGGAAGTCTAGATAAACAGATCTCTGGGTTGTAGCAAGCCTTAGGGTATTTATAACCCCTTCTACAGAATCTTTGGTAATACCACCAGGGGAATGAAGACAACAGTGCCCTTGCAGGAATTTATGCTGAGTTGGATCTCTTGTATTTCCACCTGAGAAGCTCCCTGGAAATGTGAAGAATACTAGTGATGATACCACAGATCTTCACAGACAGTGGGTTCTGTGTGAGGGGGGGAATAAAGTAGATTCAGAAAAAAATTAGAAGCTAGAATTGTGGTGCTTCAGTTACTTAGTAGTAGATCTAAGCATGGAAATAGTGTATACTCAACTGCACTCAAGCCACAGAGCTGCAGACTCAGTAAAATGAGGAGCATGGTGCCCAACTGCGGATACACAGATGGTTCTTTCAGCATCTCTAGGACATTCATGATTTTGGTGCCTTTTGTTATAGCCTTTTCCTTCATCATGTCATCAAATTCAATGAGATAATTCCCTTCTCCCCAGAGTTGCTTCATGGCTAAAGAAGAGACAGAATGAAATAAACTCCCCATCATCTGATCTGCTCAGAGTGATGTATTTTTCAACTTTTAATAACATTAAGCATTTGCAGTTCAGTCTGTGTTTTGCTTCATCAGTCCCTGAGCAAAGGACTAGAATATTGCTTACTGGAACATGCTGAGACTTCCCTGGAAATGGCTTTTAACTTGCTGTAGTATTTAGGGGTAGATCTTAAATGCTTCTGATGACTGTACTTAGTCTGGAGGAATTTAATAATATAATTATCAAGAAATCTGTAGTTGGCTGCTAGAAAAGCTGACCCCCTCTGTTAGTTTCACTTTACTGAGAGTTACGGTTTAGAGAATTAAGGATCAAAAGTTTTATGTTACCTTTCAAGCAACCGGGTTTGTCTCCTTTTTGCAGCAAGAGATAGGGAGGGGACTCAGGAAAGAATGGCAAAAAGACCAGTTGAATCAATGCCACTAACCCAGAGAAGGACAATAGCACATTCCACATATCTTCTGTTCCTAAAAGATCTCTATGAAAGCATGTTAGAGTGTATTTATAGTTCAGTAAAATTATAATCCATAACTAGTTTGGTATTTTCCTAGATCCTGTATTAGTTGAAGAGACACAATGTACATACGTAGCTTGGGAAGATCAATTGAAATAGAAGATGGGAAAGGAAAACAGGCTCATACTTTCTACTGCAGGACTGAGATTTTTCTTGTAATCTGACTATTTTGTAAAGATCAGTGGAGTATGAATATTCTGCAACAGTCTTCTGAAGCAATACTGCAATTCTGAGTGAGGGTATCAAGTAATCCGCAGGATTTAGATCCCAGAAGTTTACTGAGAGTGTTTGCATACAACTTTTTTTATTAACTTCAGCAGAGAGACCGCACCTCCAGAGATGGATTCATTCTTTCTCAAGAGAAAGGCCTTTCTCTCCCCAGTGACACATAAACCTCTGTGACTGGTATGAGGTAAATACATCCATTATTATGGCTGTATTTAAGCAAAGTAAAATCCCACCCTTAGTGCATTTCCATTTCTAGGACTGGGATAACAACAACTCCCTGCTGTACAGAAGACAAATAAATAGAAAACAGGATGAGAAGGAGTAGCACAAGTACCTTAATCCAAGAATTCTTGCGACAGCTTTTCCTAATGCAAGAAACACAGAGGAGCTCACATTTACAAAGCCACGCAACCTCTTCGGTGAGATCTCTCCAGCATATTGAATGTGGGCACTCAAGTGTATTCCTGAAATGAAGAAGACACAAAAGAGCTAAAGCTATAGAAAGCAAGAGAGGCAGTCCCTTTTCATTTTTTCCTTCACCTAAAGGTAGCTTTCTCCTTCCTCTTCTGAACTGTTTGCTCTATATCCTCCACAATAATAGGCTAAAAATGTACCTTTTCCTTTAAGCAAGATGTTTAGCTAATCCACCAGATCTCTCTCTCAAGACCTCTTGAAGGCAAAGGACAGCTCATCTTACCTTTTCCCAATCTGTTCCTTGTTCCACTGGGGTTACTGTGCATGCCTGGGTACTCCCAACAGGAAGATTTCTGTATCCACCCCAAAGTAGTCACATTAACATGGAGTAGTGGGGAGTCCTACCAGCACCGAAGCCCTCAAGGAAGCGCCCAATCAGGATCATCTCAAAAGATTTGGCTCTCCTACTGAAGCCAGTATTCAGTGTGGCTATTATGAGGACCACGTCATTGAACAGCAGACATTTCTTCCTGCAACAGCAAACATGCGGGTGTGATCCATGTTTTACTTTTTCATCTTTGACTAATGCCTGCCTGTTCTCCTCTGGATTTACAGACCAAGTTTAAACCAATGTTTACAAGACAACCATATCCGATTAGGAAAGTCATGTCTTTGCAGGGAAATGGTTCCTCTTTTCCATGCTAACACTATGGGAGCACGCCATGAGGATGAAGGAAATTCCTGAAGGATAAATATTGATCAGGAATGGTCTTTCTCACTTCTCTACTGTGGATAAGGTTCCCATCTCAAACACTGCGCCTGTCCCCAGAGCAGGGCAAAGTCAGCTTCATAGAGAACATGTTTCACTCTCCGGCCACCTCAAGGCAGAGAGTTCTGGCTTTGTGCTGTATGGCCACCCTCAAAGAGAGGGTTCTGAATGGGGCCTGAGGGACTTCTGCTTATCCTTGCTGAAACTCTTATTGTTCTCACAGAGGAATGAACCTGCACGTTTTTTTAAAAGGCTGTGATCAAAAAAAAGGAAAGAAAACCTTTTGCCTACAGAATATCTATCCTCTATTGCATTACTGCAGTGGTGTTGGGCTCCAGAGGGCATTATTGCCCAATAAAGACATTTCAGAGATTTATTTTTTACTGAAATTTCAGTGAAAATACCGGAATTGTACGGCACTAAAACCGTGACAAGGGAATCAGAAATGGTTGCATGTTCCTGTCTCTCTAATGTACCTAGGGGCAGTTAAACACAGAGTGGAGCAAATTCTGCACCAGAAGGGGGCAGTGAGAATTCTGACATCCATTATATTAGGTGAGTGACATTTAATTGCTTCCCTTGTTGCAGCCTCTATTAGCTATTGGGAAATATACTTACTTTCCATATTTTGCTGTTAGGAACCCACTGCACAGACAGCCTATTGTTCCACCTACACAATACATAGACACGATGAAGGACCACAATAATGTGAGTGTCTCCTGTTGCAGCACAGACCCATATCGCTCCAGCCAAGTTTCATTGATAAACTTCTGGATGTACTGGGACAGAAAAAGGGACTTTCACAAACAATAATTCTTCATAATGTTTAAAACTTTAAAGAGGTGAATGATAGTAATTGATAAAAGCATGACTATGGGACATTTGTTTGCAAATTAGGATTGACATTTCCTCCCATATGGACTAATAGTGTGAGATACTCTTTCAAAACGCAATTATACTCTTTAGTCTGCTGAACCCTGGTACTCCTACACCAAAATAGTGGGACCTTTTATTGACTCTAGTGAAGGGCAGTTGCTCCTATTGCAGGTAGCGGTTATAAAGAGAAAAGGGCTGAACTGAAGGTTGAGAGTCAATCAGCTAGTTGTTAATCTTTTTTCTCCATGGCATAATCTTTGAGGAGGGTGTTTCAATATGTTGTTCCCACACAGTTCTGTGAGAAGTTGTCTTTGGAGCACAGCTCCTAACAATCATGCAAAGTCCTTTTGTCTTTTGACAGTGGACAGTATGGCATTGGAAAGAGTTGGGAATAAACCCACATAGCAGCACCTGACAGATTTTTTTAGAGCATCTTCAAAGAGTAAGGCCATGATGAACAGTTACAGATGTGATCTGGTGAAGGGTTTGCTTACCGGAGATGTGTAATTGATGACACACATTTGAAAACCAGACAAGTGGGTTCCCCCAATCCCTAGCACCATAATCATTAGCAATAGCTTCCGGTATTGAACCTGCCAAAGGTGACGAAACACATTGTAAGTTCCTGATACCTCCTGGCTTTAGACCAGGAGACAATTGATGAGATGTTCTGTCTTCACATTTCTATGATTTACTGTAAAATGCAAACACCCATTTTGAATTTTTCAATCATGCTGCTTGCCAGTGAGTAGGGCTAGAAGACAAGAAGTTAGATACTCACCAGGTCTGAGAGGAAACCAGCCATTTGCCCTTGAAACCTGCCTGCTCTGAGAGCCCTTGTCAAGTCTGTCAGATGAGAGGTATGTTTTCTATGTGTAGATTCTAAGAAGTGGGGATCATGTCACAGAAGTTAAATTCTAACCCTGTGGCTTTTAGTGAATTGTGTCCTCCTCCAGCAGTGACCAGGGCCCCTTTTTGCTGGTTTAATTATTCCAAGACCCAGATACGCCAGGCTGGTTGCAACACTGGTAAATGTTTATCCGTCTTCTGTTGGGAGTGCTCCCCCTCACTTGTACTGCCAAAGCAACTGCATGTTCCTGTGAGGAGTTGGATGGTGTTCCTATCTTTCCTTCAGGATAGCAGAGTCCCTCTTCACCTCTCTGACATGCAGCTTAGGCTGAGTGTTTTTCCTTTTCTTAAGTCTACTACAGAGATAAGCCTCTTAGTATTTTGAGTATTTGTATTATTAGCTGAGCTGTAAGGCCTCTTCTTGTATGCTGTAACATTTTCCATTGCTTGAAATGACCTGAATGATTTTCCAGTTGCAGGACTGGTGAATCTCTGAATATTAGCATATTTGGTCCTTGTGAACGCCCAGCTCTAGTCAGGGTTACTGTTTCCAGAACCACTCAGAAGCCTCACTCTTGCCTCTTTTTAACAACAGAGGTGGCTACTGTATGCCAGACCAGGATGCTCATTGTGGTCTGGCCAGAGAACTGATTTTTAGAAGTACTTTTCACCTTAGAGAAAATTATTTTTAATCAGCCAAAGACTTGACTGTTTACACAGTGTAAGCTACTTCTTGCTTCCTTCAGGCTTCTATATATTACGTGTAAGATTTTGTACTACACTGAATACAGTGGAGCTCACTCTGCACTACAAAGATTTAAGTGTCTGTGGTTAGTGCTGAAAGGGGCAGTGGGAAGGTGGGGCTATGGTTCTGAAAGCAACAGAAGCTTTGCTCAAGAGCACAGCGGAAGCGCTGACATTCCTCCTACAGTTTGCTTGTTCACATTACAGTGACTGACAACAACCCCCTGCCGTCCTCTGGGCCGTGTGCCCTGCAGCACAGGGCAAGCTTGCTGTGTCATGCCTTGACCTTTCTCCTGCTGCATGTCCCAGTAATGCTCTCTCCAAACCCTCTGCTTGGGTGTCTCACCGCACATCAGCACAGTGAAATAATTGGAGCGGAATTCATCTTTTCACCCATTCCATTTTCATCATTCCTGAAATCCTCGTTACCTCCGCATCATGTGTGGTCATGTATTTCATTCCTTCGCCTCTCGGCAGAGACTTCTCAAATGCTATCACTTCCTCTTCCAAAACACCCCAGAATCTGTCTTCCTCTTCAATTACTACTGCAAAAATCCCTGTCTTTATTTAGCTTTTCTCTTGTTTCTTACAAATTCCTCCTCTCAGTTTCCAGTCATTTTAACACTGGCCACTGCCCCCTCCTCAGCTAAAGGTTTTGCTGTCAAAGGGAAGACTGCAGCCAGATCATACAGCTATCCCCTGTCCTCTCTTACCACCACCACCCACTTTATCCTCAGGGGTCACACCAGAGCTATGTCCAGCAAAGTATCCCAGAGCTGTCAGTTGCAAATAATACTGTTAGGCAAAAGCATTAACAGCAGCAGGCCCCAGTGATGAGCAACACAGGGACTTTGCTGGTCAGGACAGTTTCTTTGTATTTGCTCCTTACACCCATTTACTGAGATCCTCTTTGAAGTCTTGTAAACTTCTGTTGTTCCAACTCCTGGGTCAGAAAGGTCAAAGGAGATACTTGAACAATCCAGTGTTACTTTTTGCTTTCTGTCAGGACACACTAAAAGCTACTTTTGAAATAATAGTTAACCCTCTCTTTTGCTGTTTCTCTGTGGTTTTGCCTTTTAACTTCTGTTTCCTGTATCAAATTTGAATGTCAGATCTCTGTTTCCAGATCTTTTCAAGCTGCAGTGTCTCATGCGAGTCTGTTTTTACTTTTCTTTTCCCTTTTCAGAAGGCTTCTGCCAATCTAACAGCAAACCACTTTGCTAGGCTCAGACAGCATGGTTCAAGCACCTTAGAGTGTGGTCATGAGCAGGGGGCCTGAATGAGCTAGAGAGGAAAGGAAGATTGGTTCTTTGAGCTGAGGATGGAAAGCATGGCTGCTGGAAGGAAGGACACACATGGCAGCTCTTGTTCTTTCTGAAGGAGTTTTGAACCACTGTACAGCCAGATTTTAAGATCTGGTTGATCAAACAGTCCATGCAGAGTGCTGTTCCTCCTCTCTGTATTTCTCCCAGAATATTCACACTGCTGTCTCATGTCTATCTGGCTTCACCCTTTTATTCAGTGCTGTACTATGGGAAAAACAAAACTTAAGTGCATAATACAGTTCTTATTTATTTTCCTACAGAAGAGGACAGAAGAGTCTTTTCACCTAGGGTTTGAACTCTACAAGAAATGTACTTATTCCAGATCCAGTGCTTAACTCACCCAATACCCTTAGCTTGGAAGGCTTTTGGTTTCAAAGATGTCATGTGTTGCATTTGTGTGATCCTGGAAACCAAACAGATATGCTGCAGATTCACAAGTACCTCTCTAACCTTTATTCCCAATCCATGCTACTTGATGGCAGTGTTAATGATTTACTGCACTTTCCTGCTTCTGACCCCTTTAGTGTCTTGTAAGACACTAAAAACTTCCTCACTGGCAACCAGTACGGTTGAGAAAGACCAGAACATATAAAGACTTTAAAAAAATCAAGGTCTTACCTAATCCTTTCCTTCTCTCTCTCCCTTTTTTTTTCCTTCTTTCCCTCAGCGTTTTCCCCCAGAAGCAGGAATGGGGATCAGCTTTGCTGTGGTATTGTTCAGTCCATGTTCTCTGGCCTTGAAACTGTAAACTTTATCTAGCTTTCTTCTGTAATATGATGATTGTCATAGGAAGGATGGCTGTGTTGATGATGTCTACTGGTCTTAGCATTACTTCTTGGCACTGCTACAATATTGATTTGAAGATAAAATAGCAGTTTTATCTGCACAGACTTAGGGCTGTGAAAGAAACTACCACTCAATAGTCAGGTCCTTTTGCAAATTTTATTGTGCAGTATCTGCAACATTCAGTAGTGGAAATCTCATTTCCAGAACAAGAAAGCCACAGTATTCCTTGACCCCAACAATACAGTCCCAGAGGATGGGCTCTGTGTCCCTGACTCTTCAGTCAATGAAAACCAAATCCAGGTATGATCAGTATGATGTGTTTTCTTACCCGTTGCTTTTTTTATTTCCTTATCAGTAAACTGTAAAGCATGAAGAGCAAGAATGTGTCACATCCTATAGCAATGAATACAAAAAGTGAAGCCCTTGTTACCATGTTTTGTCATTAAAATGTGCAGTATTCAGAGGACTGGAGAGAGAAGTAAACACTCAGACTGGGTTCTACTGGAGGAGCACTACTCTTTTTTGTCTCATCAGTACCAGGTACTCTTGGAAACACAATCCCATTGAAACCCAGTGTTCCTTCTCTCTGACATGAAATAGCACCAGGCTGAAGACATGCTACATAGTTACTGAGAATGAAGGAGAACTTGCCCAGCCTGAATTAGCCCACACATGATTTCCTGCAGCTCTACTTTCTTTATGTCTTGCTTTCTTCCAGTGCTGGCAAATCCCTGTTTGTCCCAATAGGAGAATCTCCAAAATCTAGGCAGTGCACCTGATTACCAAGCAAGAGGTTTGACTTGAGGCAACAGGTTATGTTTGGATACTGCTCTAGCATAGTGTCTCCTTTACACCAAGACCTTTTATCTCCTTCACACCTAGCAATGACTTTAGCCCTCCTCAAAATAAAATAAAATAAAAAAACAACAAAAAAACCCACCCCAAAACAAATTAAACGGGATGAAGACCATGCTGCAAGTCACAGAAGTGTGGTCATAAGCTCCTGAAGAAAGTCCTAGTTGCCCTCATACCTTGTACTTGCTCTCAAGTCTAACTGTAAGAAGAGGAAACATTGCATACCAGTTCTGCCTACTGAAAGGCAGGGTACTCTTACTCCACTTATTAAATAGCTAAACACTTCTTTTCATGTGGACTGAAGCTCCTTCTCTGGGAGAGCTCAGCAGCACTGGCTTGTTCGTAGTGTTCGTAATGTGAAAGCTCTGTCTTCTTTTTCTCTGTTTCACAAGTATGCTGTACATCTGAACCTTCCACACTCAGTTCCTCCAGTAACTGTGGAGTCCTGGTTTTGGTTAGGAAAGTAGGAGATCCTGTGTTCTCAGTTACACAGCTGCTAACTTGCAGGGACTGACAAAGATCTTATTTCTTTCTAGACTGTGTGTAATTTTTTTCTGCAGAGGATTGAACTCAGCTCCTATTCCAGCAGTTGGAGAGAGCCACCAAATTCATCCTGCACTGCAAGTGATTATTTTTAAAGTATACTTTTTTTGCTGTTTATGGAGAGATGGATTCTGTCTTGTTTAGTGAGGCTTCTGGGCACTACAGTAATAAGAGTGGAGAGTTTGTTATTAAAGTCTAGTAACAGTCACCACTGAGCAGTTACTCTGCTCTAGGATTGTCTGTTTCTTCTTTCCACGGTAGTTCAGGTGGTTGAACTCCTCCATGACCTGCAGCATGGTCTTTCCTGTGGTCTCTGGCATCACCAGGAAGACAAAGATAGCCATGGACAGACAGTATGTCAAGAAAATGATGAAACAGAAACTACCAAGACCTTCCTATAGGAAAAGAAAGAGACAAAATGTGTTCACATAAATTGACCTAGATCTCTTTCTCTTATGATATGGAGTTCCTGGTTTTCTATTTATTAAAAAACATGGTCAGGGACTCGATGTAAATCCTGCTTGATGCCACCTGGGAAATGGCATGGAGTGGTAAGATGAACTAATTCTCCTTTCCTGTTTTAAGAAGGAAAGTTCTATGCTCAGCAGAAATTGAATGTCATTGCTTGACAATCTAGAGAAGTGCTGAGCTTCAGTTACTCTTCTGTCTGCTCGTCCTTAGTCTGTGCTAGACTGGGTAAGGTAGGTAGCATGTTAGTTCTGTCCCTCCTTGCACAGCCCAGAACTGCAAAGGCTTTTGTTTCCTGCTATGTACAAGTGCAGTGAGAGATCTCTGAAACTGCCCATTTTCCAGATATACCCCAAAGGAGATGAACACACAGGAGGGGGGGGGAGGGGAAGAAGGGAACCCCTCATGACATTCAGATGTCTTGGACAGTTGTTAGTGCCTCTGTCATTGCTTCAGTGTTTGCCAGTGTCACACTCTAACTGTGTA